GTGCACAAACAAGGAACAGTTTTATTAACCATACATGTAAACAGAGTTTTATGGGGCCCCCAGAAAGTTGGGGCTCTAGGCAACTGCCTAGTATTGCCTAATGGTAAATGCCTCCCTAAATGTCAATTATGTTTTGTATATTATATTTATCCCCCAAGTATAAAAAGAAAACACAACAAAACTGTAAGGAATTCATCATTAAGTATTTTATGATTCAACGTCTCTGTCAAACTTTCACATTTTCACCAGCAAGTGTTAATGAATTGGAAAATCTTATACAATCAAACCTTTACACCAATTCACCCGAATGGAATACCTGTTATATTACAGTACAATACAAATCACTGTTTAATAGGATGGAAAAAGGTGTTTTTACATTTAGCCAACAGATAAATACTTCTTTTTTCTTGTAATGCTTTTTGTGATAAATACAAATTACAAGCAAACCACTTTTAATCCTATCATTAAAACCATCTATGGAAGCCCATTTCTGCCACATGAAAGTAAAAAATAAAAGCCAAATAGAAAGTCATAATTATAGTCATAATTTCGACTTTAAAAGATAAAAACCAAACCAGAACCGAAGCGTAAAGCAACAAATTAAAAGACAGACAAAAAAAAAAAAAACTATGGTGCAGGGAATGTATAATAAAAAAAAACAAGCCAACAGATAATCTTAAAATTTAAAGCTTTTTTCTCTCACATTTTGTGGCAAACAGTAAAGTTCCAGCGGTTGGATAAAAGACTTTAATGTAGCAGAGAGCGTAAGCAGATATCAGTTAAAATCAGTTAACTAATAAACATTAATTGGTTTTACCCTTGATTTGAATGACCTATTAATTAACTATAACATCCAGTTCTAGTTAATATGTCCATAATCTCCTGATAAAATTGCAAAAAGCTTAACTAATCTGCTTTGGTTCTCATTCGGTTCGGTTTAGCCCAGATGAGGGGTCATTTCTAACAGAACACGTTCTTTGCAACAATAATGGAACAAACTTCACTCCATATGTGACCATCCATCGGCCCATCCTTACATCCACTAGAATGGAAACAGCTGTTTCAGGTGGACATGGACTGTCAGGGTTACCATGGCGATGTTAGAAAAAAATATTTTAAATTCTTTTTCTATGTTTTCCAGTCTTTACACTCCCTGCTGGTCCTCAGAGGCCCTGCACTGGTTGCTGTTGCCGTGGTAGCATCATGCGTATTCTGGCCGCCTTGCTGGCTGAGTGGCCCTTCTGCTGGATAGGTGGCGGTTGCCATGGTAACGGACAGAGGCAGCACCACCTCCACTTTAGACCTAAAACATAAATAAAAAAAATGAATCTAAACATACACCTGTTTGGTATTGGCCATGGTATCGGCTACTGATGACATCACCGACCGCAGCTCTGAAGCTGACGCCCACCGTCGATGTCGCCGCCCCCTTGAAGAACGATGCATTCTTATTGGTTTAGCTGAAACTCTGCAATTCAGGAAAAAAACAAAAACAAGGCAGAACTTCTCTTCTTTTAAATCTGATCTCTGAGGAACTTTATTTTTTTATTGGCATATTTGTGAGATAAAATGTTTGCCTCCTGGAATAGGAGTGAGTTCAGAGAAATATTGCAAAGAGCCTCTATGCTGTAATGTTTAAGGTACGGGGGGGGGCAGAAAGCAGATGCCTCCCTACTCTAAACAAGGGTGAAGGGAAGGTTATGAGAGATAAGTTCACACAAAGTCCTTCATGCAGTGAATAGGAGTGTGTGATTTTGTTAGGTATAAATGTATGAACTGAAATGCCTCAGTCAGAGAGCTCTATCTCTCCGTCCGAGGACGTTAAATAAATTTGAACATTATTTCTTATAAGAATTGCTTCGCCCTCAGCTTCCTAACTTAACATCTCTCCCTACCAGTGTTGGGAAGTCTTGTTGCTAGTCCAGTCACATGACAAGAAACTAACAAGTCCGTGTCCTCTATTTCAAGTCCTTTTTCCTTGAGTCAATAATGACTCAAGCACCTTCTGTTATTATTAGTGTTTTGTTTTTTTACTTTAGTGAAAGCTTCATTTCAGCAGAGGTGCTGAAGTCAAAGTGAAGTCTGTTCCAAAACAACCAAGTGTGGTTTTAAATAATCAAATCTGTGACTCTGACTGAATCCAGGGCCGTTTCTCAATATGTGTACTTGTGCACTCTAATGTACTTTTGAATCATCATCAGCCTCAGCACTAGTAACATTCCGGTTCAAAAGAACACAAAACAGAGAACGGTCAAATTCCCCGGATGTTGTTCTGGCCCCTCCCTCTTTACCCAGCATGCATCAGAGCAGACTTGTCTGCCCTCCAGACTAACAGCTGTCCCAGCATGCACTGCGGCAGCAGCAGCTTCCATGTTAGCGCTCACAGAGCTCAGAGTATTAATTTAAAAGTTCACTTTTTTATTGCCGTTCTATAAAAGTATGTTTTAAGATAATTTGAGGCAAAGACATTATACTTTTAAGCGTCACTATGTGGCGCATTTACTGATTTAGTGAGTAATTTTAAAAAGTTCAGATTTGAGAGGAATGTGGCAACCAGCGGACCTCCGAGGCTACCTGCAGCCAGGGCTAATGTTAGCCCGTCTGCAGCAGGCAGGGCTAACATGAGCCCGACTGCAGCAGCCAAGGCTAACGTTAGTTCGTCTGCAGCAGCCAGGGCTAACATGAGCCCGACTGCAGCAGCCAAGGCTAACGTTAGTTCGTCTGCAGCAGCCAGGGCTAACATGAGCCCGACTGCAGCAGCCAAGGCTAACGTTAGTTCGTCTGCAGCAGCCAGGGCTAACGTTAGCCCGTCTGCAGCTGGTAGGGCTAACGTTAGTTCGTCTGCAGCAGCCAGGGCTAACGTTAGCCCGTCTGCAGCTGGTAGGGCTAACGTTAGTTCGTCTGCAGCAGCCAGGGCTAACGTTAGCCCGTCTGCAGCAGGCAGGGCTAACATGAGCCCGACTGCAGCAGCCAAGGCTAACGTTAGTTCGTCTGCAGCAGCCAGGGCTAACGTTAGCCCGTCTGCAGCTGGTAGGGCTAACGTTAGTTCGTCTGCAGCAGCCAGGGCTAACGTTAGCCCGTCTGCAGCAGCCAAGGCTAACGTTAGCCTGACTGCAGCAGCCAAGGCTAACGTTAGTTCGTCTGCAGCAGCCAGGGCTAACGTTAGCCCGCCTGCTAACGTTAGTTTGTTTGCAGCAGCCCTCTCTTTGCATAGCCGTGTCGGAAGTACCGCTGGCTTTGACTTTCCTGTGTTCTTCTCAAGGACATACTTGGCGAGAACATGACTCTGTACTGAAGTTGTTGTGAATTGAGAAAGACCCAAGTCTTCAAATCAAAGTCCCCCCCTCTGGTCCTTACCTCACTTCCTTATATGGTATTTCCTCTGTCTGTCTGTCATTTAGACCTTCAGGCTCCACCAGCTGCTTCCTGTTGACATTCAGAAAGTTACTCACTTCCTGATCTACTGTAGAAACAGAGTGATTACCAGAGGCGTTGTTAGGATCCTGAGACCCCGGGGGCTTAGCCCAGCCCACACATAACTGTGTGGAATAGTGTTTAAAATTTTACTCATTTTCTCTTTAGGTGCTTTATCCTGATTTCAAATCCTTTCTCTGTTTTCAGTACATTAACTTCAGCAAAAACTATTAAGTGATTCATTAAACAGTGAAATATATTTCAGATATTCAAATCACTTTCTTTCCCAGGGTTCCTCTTTTAATATATAAAATAAGCGAGCTTCCCACTTTCTCCCATCCTAACCCCTCCCCTAGCCCCGCCCCTCAATAGTACCAACCGCTATTTTTTACAACAGGGTGAGTTACACTTTAAGAATGACGTCCACTGCATGGCCTCCCGCCTACAGATGAACAGAACCCCTGATACTGGCCCAAAGTCAACCAGAAGATTTTATGAAGTTGACTTTCACTGTAAAACATACAAAAGTCTCTTTATTTACTGAAGTAAACATTTTAAATATATTCTGATTTTTGAATGTGTAATTGTAAGTCTTCCTTCATTTGATCGGAGCTTCAGGTCTAACTGCACCTTTAGTAATAATGTAGCAGATATTTAGTTACAAACTATATGTTGTACTCTACTGTAGCTTAATGCGGAACCTACTGGATGTGCTTCCATATTTGGGCGTCAGGACTCCGCCTACCAAAAAAAGACACTTAGCATTAACTCCCACTGCCAAAAGAAAACAGGAATGCATGGTCACTATGGCAACCTCCGAGTGTACAGCTCTTCTTACCGTCTGTGGCGTTGTTTTCCGGCACTCATCCTTCCAGATTCACTGCCACTGCTGGTGTTGCCATGGGAACTAGACCTGTCATGGTTTCAAACATTATATTTGATATTTGTTCTCCGTCCATTTTTGTTTCCAACAAAGGCTGTGTCTTAACCTTCGCCCTAACCACTAAATCCCTCCATCACTACATAGTGGAGTTTATAGTGAACTCAGTTAACTGACCGTTTGGACGGATGATCACTACTTTTCATTCCCCTTTGTTCATGTAATTCCGCCTCCCCGCATGTTGCCTGCTCCATATTTGTTCTTTAACAAAGCCACAACATATCCCATGATGCTTTCTGAGAAGAGCTCTTGCAAAGCATTCTGGGATATATCTGTTCATCTATTCACTACTTTTTCATCAAGCAGATGTTCAGACACCCATTTAAAATGGCGTATCCCAATAAAGTGCTCTATGTAGGGGTTAGGGCGGACGGTCAGACTCTAAAATTGACCTCCTCCTCTGTCCTCTGGTTGGTCGATCACCATCAAGACTTCTGCTACGCCTGAAACACAGACAGGTTAACTAGTTATTAGTAATAATTCATTCAATCAGTCC